ATAAATATGTCTTGGTGTTTTACCGCAGTATAATCTGACATTTACCACTGTAAACACAAATACTGACACATATTGTCAAGAACATCTGCTATGTTTTTCATATTTTCTCAATATTTGACTTTGTCTGACGTAATATAAATTGCGTTTCGATTTCAGCAAATTTTTGACGTTCTGATGCATGTTACAGTGTCAACGTGTTAGACAACTAACTCATCAGACTGTCATGTTTACCATTGACTAAGATATTTATCAATGTCTGACAAAGCTATCCATCGAATACTTAAACAAGATACGAAATAACAAATAGCAAAAAGCAGTCACATAAGGAGATCTGAAGTAGTATTATGCAATGATTTATCACTTTCATTATATCATATTTAAAAGACTTTTGATATGTTAAAAATATTTTTAGAAATAACATATTTATTATTTGTACTAAGACTCACATTAAGTCAGTTAGAAATGAATTTATCCAAAGTATACCAAAAATGTCAATTTTTTTTTACGATGTACAAAATGTATATATCAAAATTTATTGATTCGTTAAAGCTACCTTTCACATGTATATGAGTATGATCTCAGTGAAACTAGTTATGTTTTAAAGATTTGATTTTGAATGGAATTATCGAAATAAGAATATAAGTCACCGTCTTTGTTTTTGGAGTTAAATAAGGCAAGATGGACAATGTGTTATACTTCAACAATTCATTAAATCTATAGCTTGTGATTACCATTGATAGAATTCCTCTTATGGAATGAATATAAAAAAAATTGATTGAGAGTTTGTGTGGGTGTGTCTGCGCGCGCTGTTCTTGTAGAATAACACCACTTTTATTTGTCTTGTTCGTGTACTGTCTGTTGAGTTTGAATTTGCATTTGTCAATTAGTCGAAATCTTCTGCCTGATGTTGATAAGTGTTCAGCTTGATATTGACAAATTCCTTGCCTCATGTAAGTCTGATATTGAAAGTTTATGATGAAACAAAATGTTTAGCCAAAGACCACTGGTAAAGTCTTAAATGAAAAAATGACGCTTGGACAGGGAAGTATGGTTAAAACAGGCAAATTGAAGGATAAAGAATATATTTTTGTTGTAAAAAAAAAGAGAAATGTAGCTAAAAAAAACACCATCCCTTGATACTAGTGCATATGTCCTTAGAAAGTTATATTTTTATTCAAAGAACAGTTTAATAATTATTAAGATTTTTTATAAAATTAATGTGACTCGATTAACTCTGAAATTACTAAGACATTTATCTAATCTCATATTTAATTCACTCATGATTTTACCATGTCAATTATAGTATCATACATAATATGCACGACACACTGTTTGTTTTGATTTATTATTCGATTTAATCTGAAAAAGTTTTTCGGTGTATTATATAACGACTTATTCTTCCATTTATCATAAGCTGTTTTTATCAATCAATATGTGTGTAAGGATAATTAAATCATAATGATTCTACACGAAAGTGGAATTTTTCTAATTAGTTTGCACTAACAGTTTTGTATTGTTCCTTCCTTTTTGCAGTGAGTTGTACGGTAGCTCATTAACTGTATGAGAAACAATTTACAGACTGATACATCCATGTAATGAATTCAAACGTTTTTATTATAACGTACCGACCACTACCATGTCTACGTCATACAAATCCAGGAGGAAAATAACATTGTTCTTTAATTATTAAGCGTTTGTGAAAATTTCGTACCGAATCATCTAAATGTCATTTGAAAGAAACATTTATAAATGATTCCTTTATGATAGTGAAATGTTTGCCTCAAATAAAAGAAATGTCTTTACCATAGGGAACACACTGGCAGTTTTTTGTTTTCTTGCTCTACTTGTTTCTACTTCTAGTATGAACTTCATCTTACCTAATTGAAAAGGAAACGATTTGTCGTTCCCAACTGTCTAGTTTTCTGGACGAAGATAATTATTTTTCCTGCGTGATCTCTTTCACGTTTCAGAACATCATGAATAAAATTGAATCATTATGAATTCTGTGTCCAGGAATTTCTAAACTCTTTATTTAAATTTCTATTATTATTGTCATAAACTTTCAAAAAATATATCAAAAATATCGAACTCAAAGACAAATTCACTAAGGTGAAGTCCATAAAAAATGACAAAATCAAACGCTATCAATCAATGGAACAAGTGAAAAACAACTACCATATTCCCGACTTGGCTACAGTCATTTTCCACATATGGTTTATGCCACTACGCAAGTTAACAGTGTCACATTATATCTGTAATCTCTCTTTCACTGCGGACAAAATTTGGTTAATATAACCAAAAATTTGTTTGCAGTTAAAGAGAGATAACAGAACGGACAATTCCTTTGTAGAACATTCAGATGAGCCGGCAATATACCGTTGTTTGTACGGAGTATTGTGAAGTTTAGGTATCAAAAACAAACAAGGTAAGTCCTCAGATTTGTTGTTCATTGAAATATTCAATGAAGCTATGAAGAACTGTTGGTTTGCCAAGATCTCATCGTTTTGATGTTGTTTTTTCAAAGTTGTTCTTAGCTGTATACATCAGATCACCTTTTTTTTTATATTGAATTTCAATATTTTGTTTTCAAAAAATTTGTATCAATGTCATTGTATTATACAAACCAGGGCAGGTTCTGGATATAATTAGCTCAATGACAGCAGAGTGTCACATTTTTCTAATCTGTGCCTTTATGCACTTTACGCCCACGTCTTTAGACTTATTCGGAATTCTAAACCATTAAGAAGATTATAAAGCAAAATGAACAGCAAGCCTGAAATTTGAAACAACCGTTAAAGCACATTAGATAGTACATAAAACTTTTTTTCGTAGTTAAACATCGAGCTTACAATCACAATTGTTTCGCGTGATGTAGTTATATACTAATTTTTACTACTTTTAGAGACGATAAATTTCCTAGTCGCACCTATAAATGTACTTATATAAAATAAACATATAAAAGCACGACAGAATTCGGCTAATTACCAACGATATTCCGATAGATGAATTTGATATAGATTATTTACCGGTACTTTGACACTGATATGCTATGGTTACCTCTAATCATTTCTAAGGGTGGAGGGGATAGAAATAACACACAAATGCAAAATTTATGAAACTGTTTCTTTTTTCTTCCTTTATTGCTACTTGGTATAACAGTTCATTCCCTGAAATCTCTGTCCTATATAATAATAATGTTCATTTGCTAAATTAGAGCGCTTTTAATTGATTGGACAAATTAAAGCAGAAAACATTTTGGTTACTGTTCGATTACTATACTAAAGGTCGGAACAAATTATACAGCAGAAGATCTTTGCAAACTATCAACAATCGAACTTGTCTGCTGTTAAACGCAAAACCGCCATTGGGTATAATGGAAAATTAATACAAGGTTAGTATTTATCCTCCATAGAACAGATGGAAATAGGTTAAGCAATGTTCTTTATTACACTAAAAGGGTCACAATCGGTTAAGTTGTAGATGTTAGTTTTCTGTAGAGTGTTGTTTTTCGTCTTTTTTATAATTTGGTTAACGGAGATGTTATTTTATCTTCGTCCCATACACCCAACACCCCCACCCCCTAACCCCCATACCACCAAAATCTTAGTATCTATTCTCCCATTTCGGAGAACCCTAAAGTATCTTTATGAAAATATGGTACTGTTAATTTTATAAATAGCAAAACTATAACATAAACGATACCAATTCGATGCTCGAGGCCAAACAGATATCCTAAATTGTTAATTTAATTTCGAGGGACATAAATCCTTTTCCAATTCAGATTTTATGACAAAAAACTATCAAAGTAATAAACAAAGTAAATGGTCTGATTGATAAATCATCTTCACGTTTTTCCACATAATAGTAAAATTTTTGTATTTTCTTGATTCATTTCCTTAAAGATGCGAATAAAACAATTGTCCATATTGAACTGTAGGTCGAACATCTTATTCCCAAAACGGTTTGCTCTGATAATTGCCAATTTTAAACATAATCATCTATATTATCCAATTTCTAAGTGATTGAAGAAAACGCATGCCTTTTAGCTATCTGCTTTGGATATAACAATTGATAACGAATTGAAATATTAACAGAGTTTGATTTTAAGATGCGATTTCCTTTATATAATTATACGTAATTAATAATCAATAATTAGTTTTCATGATAAATTACTTTTATCTTTTGTCCGGATGTTTACTGGAATAATATTTTTTTCTAATGACTTTAATTCGATTATTCCCACGTTTTATATCCGATTGGCTTTAATTATTTGTTTTCAGGTCGTCGGGCACACACATAGTAATAAACGAAAGTAAAAAATGATATATTAGTATATACAATTATTGCTATCCTTCATATAGTTTTAGTTATTTTTCAAATCCCAATTGTTTCTAAAAAAATTAAGATTTATTTCCTTTTCAAGAGATTAAGTTCTGGTTAGCAGCAAGCCAAGTTACGAGAAAAGTTAATAATCTTCGTATACAGTAATTTCTAGCGTTATACCATACTTGGTTAGTATGTTTCTTAGAATAAAACAAAATTATGCGAAACATGCACATTAACAAAGAATACGCTAGGGTAAAACGTATTTTTCATTGGCAAAATTGACATACTATGTATGAAAGAACAGGAAAATGATATTTTTAAACAAACATTCTGACGATTATTTTTAAGTGATACCTAATTCTGAATAACTTTAAGTCATTATCAGGGTAGGATTATTGAAATAAGTTACATACACGGAACTCATTTTTTTAGAGAAAACAGGCAGATGTTTATAAAATCAGCTAACTCTCCCCTCCAAGTGTAGCATTCCGTTAGAGTTACACTGAAAACCAGATCTCGAACAGCGATTTATTTTTGCAGATTTTGCTAGACAGTAGATGTTGTACACGACATCAAACCCTATAATTGTCATGCAAATATGTATTAAGTTAGTCCATTTAGTCTTATTCTCCAGTATCGATCCGATGATAGAAAACTAATACTTTCTTTTTCAGTATTGTCCGTTGTGGCCAGTGTGTTGTCCTTGACATTAATAGCCTATGACCGTTTCTTTGGTATAGTATTTGCATTGAAAGCTCATATGACTGACAGGAGGGCACGAACGTCATTGATTCTTATTTGGTTATCCTCTGCATTGATTGCTTGTCCAACTTTAATCTACAGACAACTTAAAATACGGGTTTGGAAAGATCATACGGAACGCTGGTGTGACGATGACTGGCCGGTATCTATTGGCTCTGACAACAATGTAACAACACATTCTATACCATCACGGACTGCATACTATGTCACAGTATCTGTTGTTTTGTACTTTATACCGATGATTGTAATGACACTCGCATATTCTCGTATTATAATGAAATTATGGATGAGTGCGATACCAGTGGCAAAAATGGATAAAAGAGTTGAAGCCCAAGCCAGGGCAAGAAAGAAGGTAATCAATTATATTAACACCATGATTTCATCGTTTATATCATTTTCGTTTAATATGGTGTTGTGACAGAAATGCTAAGTGGATGTATAAATATAAATTTAGGAATTCGATATACATGATAAAAGATAACCCAAGTTCATTGAATTAACTCGTAATATTTCCAACGATTCCAGATTTCCTTTCGTTATAGACACATTGTAAGACAAACTATCTAATAATCATAATAAAAAACAACAAATAATAAGTTTGAATTTTGGCAATTTCTTGTCATGGATTTATTAGGACAGTTTAACTATATATCAACCGGCCAACGAATTTGCATCCATCGACAATGTCTCATTAATGTCCAAGATAAAAACATTGCAGAGCAACCATCATATGTTTTCTCAAAAATGGCAACTGGGCTACCAGACGCCAACTGTGATAAATTCAGCCATTCATCAAAAACAATGTATTCAGTTCACATTCTGTCCAATCCACGACGCATCTTTTGTCAATATCTGAAAATATACAACAAACAGCAGAAAAAATATTCTCAAGGGTGAGATAAGGTGGGTTTTTGTGTTCCTTCAGTTCAAATCACGCAATGAACAAATCACGAAAAGCATGCAATTTTATATCAAATAAAAGCGGGAAAACCGCTTATGAAATTATGTTAGTAAAGGAAAGACGCTCAAGTCCTTAAAAATAAAAGAAAAGTTAACTCTTGTTTAGCAGACGATACTTCAATTTATTAAATTGATTTAATGCTTAATGATTAAATTTTATTAATAGAATACATGTAAGATATCAACTGGAAAATAACCAATCGAAATAAAAACAAAAACAGAAACAGACAACATCTATCCAAAAAGAAAACAGAGGAAACTCCATACTAAAAACTGAAGGTTAAAGAACAATTGTTAATGAACTGATAAAAACATTTAATGTTATGCTCTATGTTCAGTTGAAAACTATCTACTTGAAAATTGTAATTTGTTGTTTGCCCGCTAAGCACGGGGTAATGAGATGTAAGATCAATGTTAGAATAATGTGTTAGGTTTTATAGGTTCCGGTGGGCTGTTACCTCGTGAATTGAAACGTTAAAAATTCAGCAAAGAAAATCGGTCTTGAACAAAATAAGGTCAATATTCATATCACATTAGCCTGTAATCGTCCAGCTTGACGTTCAGCACCAAACCATCATCATCAAACATATAAAGAGAACTTTTCCAGAAGTTTTAAAAGTGTTTTATGTTCTTATTCACTTGTTCAAACGAACATAAAGTATTTATGTGCACATCGCTACTTAATTTCTGAAACCTACTTCAAACCCAAACTGTATACTATATCATTCTTGATATAAAATAAGAAACACATTTCTGATTTTGTCTAGCACGGTGACCATGTCATTTTATTAAACATTATAGAAGCTAAATCATCATTTCACTGTCCACAAAAACATTGGATTCACTGAATGCAAATACGTAACGTCCACTAAATATTTTTTTTTTTTTTTTATGGTGCACTGGCCTTACAGAATATCTAAAAATAAACAAATATCATAATTAGTACACATCCAATTGATCTCTGAATTACATTACAATTCTACACTACTGTAAATATGTCTACACTGTAGTAGTAATCAACGTGGTCACCGCCTAACCTCGATAATTGAAAAAACATGATCCTTTTCTTATATACTACCCGCGAAATCCAAACCGGTTCTTACCCTAGGTACTACGCGACTAAAAATAACTACGCGTAGAGCACATAAATATATTGAACAGGTACTTTCAGCAGCAAAAATACATTTTGATGAAAAGTAGCCAACCAAACTGTATTTGAAATTAATCATCATTTTCAGTGTTTATTTAAAATGAATCGTTTCAAAAATTTCACCAAAACAATGCAACATTTTGTATGAATAGATTGTATTTTAGATATATTCTCAAGCCGGACTTTTGACAAAATGTTCATCCCCTTAAGCCGTATATTTGTGATTTAGGTAAACATGGTAAATATGAAATCCATTTTATGACATCCGACTTCTTTAAATCGAGGACAACATTTTTCTCTCTCTTAATTCCCAGAATTAAAATAACGATACCTTTGTTTTAATCAGACTAATTTTCTGGTCATCTTTTCTACAAATTCCATGCAATTTAATTGTACTGATTGTTTTAATAATCTGGTAACAAGATCTGTTATCACATTTACCTTTCTTACTGACTTCAGCTCCCTGGTTTTGTTTGTTTACATGAGCAACATAAAAGTGTTAGTCGTGAAACACTAACTGCGAATCCTATCGAAACACCAGAGCTCATCCAAGGTATTTTTCGGGGATTCCTATTGTCCAATCTTTAGTTTTCTACGTAGTAGTTTTTGGACTGCTACATCTTTTTGTCGTGCCATTTTTCTGTTTTTCATTAACTTATAAATCTTGATTACCTCCTTGCAGCCAGATCAGAGAAAGTAGGAGAAAAAAACCCAAAGGAATCGATTGACGTGCTGTAAAATTAACATTTTTGAAATTAAGTTACTAAGCAAATTCAAACGGACCTAATCCTATGAATACCCATGCAACATCAATCTTTAAAGACCCAAATGTTGCAAAACACTTGTCCTACCTCCATGACAAATATGTTGTTGTTCCCACAGATAAAGCCCAAAACAACATCGTTTTTGTATGTAAATCACATTGCATAAACTGTTTGATACATGAATTAGGTATTGACAATTCATTTGGAAACTCAACATATACCCCCACGACATTTACCAAAGAGGAAATCCTGGGTCACATTCGTGAAAAGGGAAGGGTATTGTAGTAACGACATAAGGAACATATCCGATATCATCTGTGAAACGGTTATTCCATAACGGTCAACCAACTCGTGATGGCGTCCGTAAAATTTACGAAAGGATGATTTCAACTTCACCATTTGGAACTCTTGGCTTAATAGCTTCCTTGTGAGCAGCAATCCTCTATCAAGGAAATCATGATAGGAAACACAAGCCCGGAAATAACGTATCAATTGGGAGATATATACTCCGTATGCAGGCGCTGCTGGAATGTTGTCACATAGAAATGGAAAGTTCACAATTGGGAAGCTGAAATCATGTCTTTTCTCGTAAAGTTTTGTTTTCAACCATCCCTCATTGTCAATTTCTAGATGTAAGTCAAGATATGAGGCAGACTTAACTGTATCTGTAGTATCCTTTATCTCTAGTTCGATGGGATAGATTCGTTCAACATAGTCACCAAATTTTGTATTATTTAGTGAGAGAACATCATCTATATTAGCAGCACCTTCTTAAATAGTATTTGTCTCCCAGTAGATACGATATTCCAAGGCTTGTATTTCCTATCATGATTTCCTTGATAGAGGGTTGCTGCTCACAAGGAAGCTATTAAACCAAGAGTTCCAAGTGGTGAAGTTGAAATCATCCCTTCGTAATTTTTTAACGACGCCATCACGAGTTGGTTGACCGTTATGGAATATCCGTTTCACAGATGACAGCGAATAGGTTCCAAATATCGTAACTTCAATCCCGCCCCCTTTCTCCGAATATGACCTACCGATTTGACTTATTGCCGGGTTTGTACTAACATGATCATCACGACGGGTGCCACTTGTGGAGGAAGATCTGCTTACTCTTCCGGAGCACCTGAGATCACCCCCAGTTTTTGGTGGGGTTCGTGTTGCTCAGTCTTTAGTTTTCTATGTTGTGTTTTGTGTTCTATTGTTTGTCTGTTTGTCTGTTTGTCTGTTGGTCTTTTATTTTCCACTTATGAGTTTGAATGTCCCTTTGGTTTCTCTCTCTTATAAAGACACGTATCTTTATTTTTCTAACCTACACAAACAGACTTTTAAATTGTTATATACACGAAAAGACAATACTTCTATATTGAATGTTCATTTGACAAGAGCAGACCGGTGTACTCGAAAACTTAGATGTGAAAAATAAGTATATTTCGGGAAATTTTAACATGCTAAGGACTTTTTGAAAATTGGTGAGCCAGAAGATCTTTAGATTTTGTATGTACCTGATTTTTTCCAATTTTTTTTATCAGTATGCAGCAAAGATTTACATTTTTTAAATTTCAGTTTCACAAGCTTCTAATGCAGTTATCTCGATAAATACTGAACATAAAACATCGTTTATTTGCATGTATATTTCTAATAACACAGTTTAACAAATTATTTCTTTAAAATTGATTGTTACTTAGAAATAATTTTTGATCAGTATCTTCACCGGCATTGTTGTATTGATAATTTTCTCGATTCTACCATGAGAAGAGTGAATTTCTTTTGTTTTCGTTCACTAGATTTCCCACTGAGATTGCATCCTTTCTATGTTCTTATTTTAATAAACCTTTATCGTGGACAGTAACACGGTGGAAACAAGGAATTGCAATTAACTTTTTGTGCTCATTTTAACCATCCCACTCTTTCAATACTACGCTTACCAGGTAATTTTTTTAACTTTCGTTTGCGGCGAGTTTACTTTTCGTCAATTGTTCTTCGGCTCAACGTCATGGTAAGAGTTTTTAAATGTTTAATGTGTGTGCGTTTTGCATGTGTTTATGACGTTTGTTGATAAGTGAAATTTACTGACGAAGTCAAATAGTATATTCCTAGTGGATGTCACTGTGTCATATAAACTATTAATGGTTGGATTGTGGGTTGGTTAAATTCCTGTTTTTGGAATGTTCTCTCGGTATGTTACTATCTTGTTCCTTTCGATTTGACTATGTGGAATGTACTGCCAATATTTACAATTTTTGGCTATATTCAATTTTTTTTTACATAACACTTATCAAAAGAATAGTTTATAGTGTTGCATTCTGAAAAAAAAACATACTTTTGTCTTGAATTTACTAACACTGACGTCTTGCTTTTAACTTTATATTAGAAGAAACAATCAGAATGTCAACAACATCAGTAATAACGAAAATTACTTTCTGCAAATTTTTCACGAATTAAAAAAAGATTTATAATTTACCAATCAAGATTGCAAAATATAATAACAATAAACATGAAAGAAATATATATGCTTTTACTTATTATTTAATTAATATCATCTTGTGTAACTAGTTATATTAGTTACGAGTTTCGTCTAAAGTTTCAATTTGAAATATGCACAATTAGCGAATTGACATAACATTTAAGATAGCATGTTATATTAATAAGATAAAATGTGAAATAAATAAAAACAAACCTGGAAATGAACTCAGTTCTTTGTTCTCTTTGCCAAAAGATAATATTTTTGTTTACCTCTCTCGAAATATATAGGTTCTTGATATAATTTTCAAATTTGTTCAATGTTCATTAGAAATAAATATTCTGATCTATTCTGGGCAACTTTTATTAAGACTTGCACTGTAAACCTAAGCTGATATAAATGACAGCCATAAGCCAGGTGATATAAAATTGGTTGAGGTTGTGGTATTTTTTTTATTATTTTTTTTTGGCGTAAGAATAAACATAAGACAAGTTGTTCTTAATTAACTTAAGATTCCATTTCCTATGTTAATAATTAAATCTTTCAATCTTCTCTACAACAATACCAGTAATTATTGCTAGATAATTATAATTTAGTCAACAACAGGTGCTCTCGATCAATCCAACGTCCTATTCTCAGCTGGTATGAATTCCGTGATATATTAATGTTTACCATATGTTTCCGAGGGAGATATAAACTTGTCAGACAATTACATAAGTACTGACGTCAAATTCAATAGTTATTTAGCTCTTCCTGATGGCTAGTGACAAAGCCATATGCTCGATTGACAGTTGGAATACACCTCTTATAATACCCAGCGTTAGGTGGTTATTTTAAATCAATAATTTATAATTCATTGACACTTTAAATTATTTAGACCAGGACTGATACTTTGTAATCATTTGAAATGTACAAGTACGAAAAATAAAACGTGGGTATTTGTCAAAACGATAGAACCAGAGGACATAAACATGGCAACAAAAACCTTTTTAATAATTTTTATGGGTAATTACTAAACAATTAACTGCTGATACAGTTAAGAAACACATTTAAATTCAGCATGTTTAAATATATAAAGGTTCATCTAAACATCTCGCCAATATGCTCTCCTCCTATATAATATACATGTAGTATTTGCAACTGGACATTAATCACAAATCCATCCGACCATCCCGTCAGTCAGTTCTCAAACTAACCCTTATTAGTCTTTAGTTGATATCTGATTGCAAAGTTTAGATTATATTCCATATTAATATGCGAGTTTTCACTTTCATTGATTGACACGAAGGTAACATTTTACTCTAACGCATGGCTTAGCAGGTATCACATTTTAAATGCTATTCTCACGCATTAACCGATAAAACTGGAAAAGTAAAAATTAATTATAATAGAACATGCAGTATTATAATAAATGTTCAGCTATATGTCAAATTGAATGTTATATAATATTATACGGTACAACAACTATCGGAAAGTCTGGTGTACAAATTTTAAGCCTGGTATCCATGATGAGTTTATTCACCTCAATAAATTATATGAACTATTTAAGAGATTGGACATTCATCATAATTTACAAAATGTCTGTCTTGTTTGGTCATAAAGGTTGCACTTTGTAAATACAGCTCTTTCAGAAACCACGCCTCTTTTGGTGAGATATATAATATTCATAGATATTTTGTTTTGTTTACGTACTGGTTCCCAGATATGATCTCTATGGTTCATCTCATAAAAACATAACTTGGGAAAGTTACCAGTATAAATACACTTGGATAGCGGCGAAATTGAATTCTAAGGAAGACCAATAGTGAAGGGAGGGGTAGTACATAATTTTAGTATAAGTTTAAACTCTTAGAAGGTCGGGGCATATAAATGTTGAAAATATGCCGCACAGCCCTATGTTTTGGCCTTTGAATAAAATATTAGCGCATATCAACTTTTCATTCTAGGATAAAAAAAAATTACGAAACTTCATAGTAAAAGTGGCACAGTTTTAGCCGTAAAGGGAGTTCCTTTGGGAAATTGCATTGTCTATATTTACAGAAGTGCAACCTATAGCTCTTCAACTAATACATCCTTTGCTTTAATACTTGGTACTCAGCGTTTCTGGTGAAGACAAAAAGCTTCGAACGCACCAAATTTACAAAGCGTTATTTTCTTAATTATAAAAATAAGAAGATGTGGTATGATTGCCAATGACACAACTCACCACAAGAGACCAAATGACACAGAAATTAAGGACTATAGGTCACCGTACGGTCTTCAACAATGAGCAAAACCCATACTGCATAGTCAGCTATAAAAGGCCCCGACATGCATGACAAATGTAAAATTTCAAACGAGAAAACCAACGGCCTAATTTATGTACAAAATAATGAACGAAAAACAAATATGATACACATCAACATTGCGTATATTTGTGTTGTTTTCATCTAAAATATTCCGAACAATCACGTCTCAGTTGTAACATTATGTTGGATTTCCTGCGGATCATACAGTTCTTATCATTGTCATCTGTTTGTGTAAATATCTTTTAAGTATGGTCACCATATGTCGCCTTATAATATGATGACCGTCCATTATCTAATGATATCTATAAATAAAATGATTTGTTGGATATACGTCTGATGACATGAACCCCACCTAAAACACAAAAAAATAAAAGACATTTTGAGTATAACATACCAATTTAAATAAACGATAGATTGATTATTGCTTTCTTAACGCCTAATGGCATTATTTCATGCATATTCAGGACGAAGTTTTTGATAAAACACTGACGTTATTTTAAAAATTTCAATAGTAAGAAAAGTGGTGAACAAATTCAAACAAGGCTACCAAAGATCTACCATCCACACCGAATTCATCTGATATTTAATTTCCTTCGAAAATAACATTGAACAATTCGATAAAAAATAGGCAAAATACTGAAGATCAACGAAATGATATCGGTGTTCACATGATATGTATTTACATCTCTCCTATTTAAAGGCGGTTTAATGAAACAATTATAATTCATAATGAGTTTTCATTTATTTAGATGTGTTCAAAGCTTTCAGCTATTTACTAAGTTGATTATTGTATAAACATCTGAAGTCTGTAAAGCATATGTTTGTACATTTACATATCCTTTCATGTCGATAGTGTTTTGTATAAACATAGCCGCAAAGCTTTATTTAACAAGCAAATCAATACACAAGTAAATGTAAGAATAATTGAATATGGAAATGCATGTAAAGTTGCTTTATTTAATTAACGGTAAGTAGATAGGGTCTGTCGTGTTTCTCCCACAATTCAATTCTTAGTAGTCATGAAAAAGAAAAAGCTGTAAATCCGTGGTCTGAATGTCAATGCTCTTTCTTTAATGAACATAAAAATGTATTACTATTTGTCTGTGTTGTATAAATCTGTTTTAAAGAGTTAGCGTTACCTCTGAGACATTGTTGTGCATGTACTAACTACGTACTAAAATATCCCAACTAAACGCTATGGCACAGTTGTCGGAGTAAAATATTCCAACTAAACGTTATGGCACAGTTGTCGGAGTAAAATATTCCAACTAAACGTTATGGCACAGTTGTCGGAGTAATAATTCCAACTAAACGTTATGGCACAGTTGTCGGAGTAAAATATTCCAACTAAACGTTATGGCACAGTTGTCGGAGTAAAATATTCCAACTAAACGTTATGGCACTGTTGTCGGATTAATAATTTGTATTCTACATTAACAGATAAAAAACCAGGGTCAGCACTATTCTGTACTGCGAAAATTTAAACAGCAGAAAATGATAAACGATATACCGAAACTTGTGTATTAGGCAAGCCGTGTTATGACGCCACGATCATTTTCGCTTTAAATGATATCTTTGGTTTGCTGTCTCATTTAAGTATGTACTCCATACTTCCTTTTTCATATCAAAACGACTTTGATTTTAATCTATATTATATCTATTTTTTTCTTAATCATAGTTTGCCAGAAAAAAGTAAAATAACAAATATACCGAACTCCGAGGAAAATTCAAAACCATAAGATAGAGAGAGTTTTTGTGTGTGTGGTTGTAGCATATAAATGTAATTATAAGAATTGAATAATTCTTTTTTGTAATTTTATAGACTGGTAAAACCGTTAATGTGCACATATTTGAAGAGACACCTCATACAAAATATGCTTCGATCCAAGCTTTTACACCCCAATAAAAGAACAAAAAGAAGCGTTCAGTTCTTCAGAAGTCTGCGTTTATAGTGTTGATTACGATAGAGTTTTTTCATTGTTTTGTAAATATTTTCAATGTACTCTTCTACATATTATAAGCCATGTGTATGTATATCGATTATATTTTTTCCAGGTTATTGTCATGTTAGTTGCGATACTTGTTGTCTTTGCTGTTTGTTGGTTACCATTTCAAATAATATTACTATACAGTGAACTACGTTCAAATAGGGAAGCGGTAAGTTTTTTTCATAAAAACGTGTTTGTGCTGGGTTTTTTGTTGTTTTATTTTTTGTGTGTCTTTTGTGTGTTTTTTGGGGAGAGGGGCTTGGATTTTTGTAACCTTTTATTGGAAGAGGGGCATAGATTTTTGTGAATTTTTGTTTTGAAATTGTTCTCTTAAAATCTATGATTGACGAAGCATTCGTTTCTTGTTAAAACTCTGCATGCATTTTGAAAAATAAAAGTTTTATACAGTCAAAAAACAAAGATGCATTATTCCGGTCATAAACAAAGTTCCAAACAGCACTGGGTTACAGTGTGTTTATTTTGTAAAGCTTATCTCCAGCAGAAAGTATTTCAAACTACCAGTAATGCAAAGAAGTAGCATCAAATCAAATATGTTTTTTCTTTCTTACTTTTACTTTTACAGGCAAATGCATTGAAATATTGTAAATAATATGACACGTTGTTAGAGCTATTAATCATCAAAATATCACATGTATCAATGATCAAAAGAAACATGGTACATAGGTTTATTTTTTACGAAAAAGTATGATCATTAAAATGCAATACCTATTTTCTTGGTAGATTGCTGATTGATATTTAAGGAGCATGATCTAAGCGGTTACATAACTCCCGCTATGAGACAGGCGAAAGTAGTGTCATTGATATTAGAACATTTTATCGTTTGATGGGGCAATAATACTGTAAAGGTTACTGTTTTGTGAATGCATTCAATTTATTTTATTGTGCAGGAAAGTGGCTTGTTGGCGTTTCTATGTGATAAATCAACAAACACACAAATATTTACCATCAATGATAATTCCCTTGAGAAAATACATTGGCAATTATTCAAAGTAATTTCAGAAACCCCCAAAAAGCGACCAATCTTAAAACAAAGGTTTCGTTATTATTCTATTTACTATAATAGATGACTACACGGGAAGATGTGCAAAAATATCGTATTCCTGTCTATTGGACGTCATCGGGCATTGTTGACTTTTCTTGATGTAACAAAAGTCAAATTAGAAGAAATCAAGAAAATTTGCCGTCATAATTAAATATTGACTAATGAAGACTTGAGATCAAGCGAACTGCAATATGTCATAAAACTGTTCTATGTAGATGCAACGTTTGATATTTGGGTTAGCGGATTCAGAAGATAATAATTCAAATACTAATAGTATTAGACAGATATATAGTATTCTGTATTTCAGTTTGAGGTAAATGTTACATACAACAGTAATTGTTTATATATGATACATTGGTAATTGATCGGATGGAAAGACGTTGGAACTATAAGTCTAATTTACTAGGTCAGATACTGTTTCAGTGTCCGCGAAATCTCTAAATGTATGTTAAAGTACTTTATAAAGCCTTTACCGACAGATTCCCCGTTTTCAATAACCAGCAAATAAGCTCTTACATATTAGTAAAACATAAAACAATAACGATGATCACGGTTTGCACTCCTACGTAGATCAATGTAGTTTTTCCTTTTTTTTTTGTAATTTGTACTGGTCAGTAACTTTCTTTAAACGTAAAACCTATGTTAACATGAAACATAGGTTTATTAATCAGTTGTATATGAACCTTACCATCAGTAATCAACATGTAATCAGGCATGGGGTAGACAATGATAGATAATTACAGAAATAATGTCTTTATGGGCTAGTCTTGATTACTTGAAGGTCGAGACGGCGTTATGCAGAAAACATCAATCAACGCTCCTTCTTCACTATCTTGATTGTGTCAATTTCATTAGTTTAAACAGATTTTACGTACCTTGAATAGCCTAAAAGAAGTTTTCGTATTTCAAATCAAATCTTCAATGATAGTTTTTGTAAGATGTCGGTATTTCTTGACACGTTTATAATACAGAAGTAGAAACTTTAATCTTCCTTTCACGAATCTGTCTGTTTACAGACAGGGTTAATTTGCTTATAGACATTTTGCATTGTGTAGAAAAAGCTGAAAGACATGAATGTACTTTGACTTTATTGAATAAGCAAAAGATAGACTAGGTCAAACATAAATTATTCGAGTAGATCTTAACATTGTACAATTAAATACATGCTTTCCACTAAATCTTTCCTCCCGGGGCGTTCGGTGGGAATACATCCACTGTATACTTTTTAGTTTTACAATACAGTAATATTCATTCTACAATATAGTTAAAGTTCCCATGTTAATGTTTTTATTACCTGAATTATTAGTGTTTATTTATCTTTTTTAGCTCGGTGATTGGTACTATGACCTGACTTTTGCAGCACGTCTAATGGCGTACTCCAATAGTGCCTTGAATCCACTAATATATACAGGATTTAACGAGAACTTTAGAAGAGGTAAGAACTAACTTATTCGGCACGTCTGATGGCGTACTCCAATAGTGCCTTGAATTCATTAATATATACCAGATTTAACGAGAACTTCAGAAGAGGTAAGAACTAACCTTTTCAGCACTTCTTTGTGTACTCGTATAGTGCTTTCAATCCACTGATATGGTCAGGGTTTATTGAGAACTTCAGAAGAAGTAAAGAAAGTAGCATTTTCTTTTTTCCCGAGACTTAAGAAAAGGTGGTAAACTAAATAGTAGTAGCATCAACATCAAATGCCTAAAAGGTCAGACAATGACAACTAAAGACGCTGTTCTTTGTTTGGATCAGGTAAATAAACATATAACGGGGTTTTTCATTGGTCAAAGCTCCTTTCGTTTGTCTTAATCAATGGAATAACACATGGTGCAAGTAAAACCACACAACAACAAAAAATCATTAAAAACCTACAATGCAATTGCATCGGTAAAAAAAAAGACGAAAGCACAGTTACAAGGAAAACAATACTACTGTGTGCTCCCTTTTATTGAACACAACAGTAATAAGTTAATACTTAGTATGCTGAAGAAGAAACCATGCCTTCATAAACTCAAATATCAACCATTGAACGTCTTATCAGAATTCTCGTAGAAACTTACTTCACTCATTTAAAATACACTTCCAACGCCCTAGGTAATTAAATAAACCAAATTTTAATACAGAAAAGAAAAGAAATAAAATGTCTAAATCGTGTTTCAAACTGTAAATAAATGAATCAGCATTGGCATCAAATGCTTGAGCCGTTGGAACATTATCCTTAAGGGAAAAAAAGGTTTAGATTCAACTTTTACTTCTGCAATTTAAAGAAATGTTTTATAAGCTTTGATTTTAGGCCAGTGTGGCTCTACATCGTTCCGTACCGTCTTCTTTGATTCTTTGATGAAATTTTTTTTATTGCAAATGACAAAGAAGGGAAAACCCAATTTCTTTTCTCAATACCCTTACCATGACCTCCATCTCACAAAAATTCATCCGATCCCATTTCATTTCAGTAAAACAAAACTTTTAAAACGAAACACGTAATTACGATAAAGGGCATGTATGTAATACATATATATGAGATCGCATTACCACAACACAACTACAGTTAAAACAAGGTATCACCTTTTTATACGCGCGTATAATTTTGGCGGACGATGCTTGAAAAGTTATTTACATTACTATAAAAACAAACAGAACTACAAATCGTCACTCAATAGAAAAAAGTCGTAAAAGACACCTTCTTAATAATTTGATATCATGTACAGACTCATCAGTGATACTCGAATTAAAACAGTTGAAAGGCCACATCAACTAGGAAGTTCAAAGGCCGAAACGGAAAATTCCAACAAGTTATGTCAAATACGGCTTAGGGAATATTTACCTGGAGGCAGAAAAACCTTAATAGTTTGAATGAATCAACATTTGATAAACAATGAATTAACAAAAAAATGAACATACCAATAATATTTCACGTGAACACAAAAATGCTGACTATTGTGCTGGTGATACCCTCGTGGACGAATCGTCAACCAGCAGTGGTCTCGACCCAGTGGTTGTAAAAATGTCAAGTTAATAATTTGGTACGCCAGACGGGCTTTTCATCTAAATGAAGGCAACAGTAGTATACCGCTGTTTGAAACCCATAAATCGATAGAGATAAAAACAAATCCGGGTTACAAACTAAAACTGAGGGAAACGCATCAAATATACGACACAACAAAAACACAACATTAAAATGTAACACACACAGAAACAAACTATAATATAACAATGGCCATTTTCCTGACTTGGTACAGGACATTTTAAGAAAAAAATGGTGGGTTGAACCTGGTTTTGTGGCATGCCAAACCTCCCGCTTTAATGGCAACGTCAAACACAACACCAAAACGAAAACATCACATGACAAGACCACAATACAAATAAATGGGAGAACATATAGGACAAAGAAACACACGAATAATAGCTAACGAAAGGTACTAGGCTTAAAATTCAATACGCCAGACGTGCGTCTCGTCCACACAAGACCATCCAGTGACGCTCAGATGAAAAAAGCTTGAAAGCCAAAACAAGTACAAAGCCGAAGAGCACCGAGGACCAAAACTTCCAAAAAGTTGCGCCTAACACGGCCAGGGTTTTCTGCCTGGGACAAGAACATCCTTATTCTTTAGAATAATTTATAATTTTGCAAACAGTAAATTTTATAAAATGACTATATAATAGATATACATGATAAAACCGAATTGGGGACTAACTACAGAATAAAAACGGATACATTACATAAAACAACTTAATCCAACATATAAAAATGCACAGCCGAGTTAGCCAAAGCATCAAAGCACAAAGTGACGTCACATTTGAAATTCTAAAAAAACACACAAAGTGACGTCACATTTGAATTTGTAAAAATATTTCCCAAAAATAAGATAGGATTAGGATTGATTCAAGATTAGATTTGTAATACTGACATTACATTTATTAATAACAATGAAAATTACAATACTTATTAATATCAAATTGCGGTAGTAATTAGATAATTAATTGTATTATCTAGCTATGTCGGTGTTTCTTCTGAATCAAACTGTTAACCAAATATATCGTAAAAATTTCGTTGAACCAAACTAAAATCTAATAAATGAAGGGGGTGATTAATTATCTTTACCATAACACACGAATATAACAGAAAAGACGTTAAGACATTTGACAAAATCCGACGAGAATAACAAATATAACATCAAAATTAAATACATGAATTTGGGATAGAAAGGTACCGTGACACGTCTTATAGCAATGCGGTTTCACACTCAGCAAAACAGTCACAATCGGGAATAAGTCACGTTCGGTAATTAAAAGATCAGACGACGTAATGACTCGTAATAAGACTCATCTGAGAGTCTCGAAACAAAACAGTTACAGAGCATTTTATACCGACAATTCCAAAAGTTATGCCAAATAGCAAAGATAACTCTTTTAACTGTTTTACTTGTAAATTATCTTTCTTGTTGTAGGTATCCAGCGAGTTTGGCATTGTGTTTCATGTAAAGAAAAGACTAATATATACAATAATGGCTACTCGTATGGACATTCATATGGATCACACGACGCCACGATGCCAACGTCACTTTAAAGCCATTTCTAGCTTGTAGATATTATATGTTGATAGAAAGAAATGAAAAATCAAAAAGAAGAGTTTTAATGGCATCAGAATTTCATATATTTAACAGACAAGCTGTAGATATCAGTTCGATTAAAATAGCTGTCCATATTAATACGATCCAAATACATTTGTATTTGTTGATATCTAAGATTAAACGTCAACAGTTGTGTGCATTCATTTTCAACTTTAAAAGTTTGGATATCCTTGTTAAGAGATGGACAGATAGTGAATTTGATACAATAAACAGGGTTGATTAATGAAACTTGGTGCTTTAAGCAAATCATTATTTGTTTTATAAGAGCCAATCAATGATCATGATATGTTGACTTCTAAGTAGAAAAAAATATAATTGGTTGTGCTATATAAGGTTTGCCACACATGCATTCATGTATGACTTCTATGTATAACACTCTATAAAACGTAACTGTAAGATACATTAGAAAGTGTAAAACATACAAACTGATGTGATTACACAAGAAACGGGAATGCAGTTGGTAAAATATGAGGATAAAAAATGTTCGATGTTTCAGTACATGGTCTCAAGTGCGAGGTAAAAAATTAAGGTTTTGTACTGACATATAGTTCACTTTAATTGTAGATAAATACATTATTGTAAATAAACAAGATTAAGAGAATACTTGCATCGCTCATGTACAAAGGAACCTATTTTGTTGTTGTGTCCAGTACTTTACCTACTCTGTACACACAAAAAACAAGCATTGTATTGTAGGGGTTATTTAATTGGGAAATATGACTTGTTAATCACCAAAACAGTCACATTTATAACGTGAAGAATAAGACAATGAAAAACAATCGTTACGTTATAAGGAACTATAACATTATGTAATGTAATTAAACTTTATTTGTTTATTGAGAAATCGTATCAAAAATAATTATTTAGTTATTAATGGCTTTCATTTTTATTGTTTAACGAATTTATTAGGTCTAATAATGACTGCATGGGAGACAAATATGTTGAAAAGAAGATGTTCCACTGTATACTAGACACTAACATATGTCCAACAATTTACTTTTATCTAGCTAAGATGGCATAATTTGACCATCACCCTGTTCCACTCTACTGGAATGAATTAAAAAAGAGGGACGAAAGATACCAGAGGGACATTCAAACTTATAAATTGAAAATAAACTAACAACGCCATGGCTAAAAAAGAAAAAGACAAACAGACAAACAATAGTACACAAAACACAACATAGAAAACTAAAGACTAAGCAACACGAACCCCACCAAAAACTGGGGGTGATCGCAGATCCTGCTCCACATATGGCACCCGTCGTGTTGCTCATGTTAGTACAAAACCGGTAAATAGTATAATCATTATGTCTATAAACTTCAATATTATAAACAATGTTATTGTAATATAAGTAGTGTAGCAACTCTCTTAGTCAAAGTTTCTGGTAGACGGTGGTCAGGTCGTGATCTTTTGGACTTTGTGCTCCAGAGGAGCCGTTTGTCCTTCCATAATACATTTCAATCGCGTTTTTTTCAGTAACTACAAATCAGAGCTTATTGTATCAACCATCAAAGACTGGTTGACTCCGTGTCGAGTATCCTGGTTTTCGACTGGCGTCTTGAACAAGCACGATTGTCCAGGGTTTCTCCATATTACATTAACATCGTGTTGTCATGAAGATGTATGTAATATCTGCCATTGGACATTTATTAGTTATCAATGATCTAATGATTTTTTTATTTTAATCTATATATTAAAGGTACATTTTGATCTCACTAACTGAGAAGGATTCATTTTTATAGATACGCTGATCATATTTTGTTAAACATGTTATAGCATTTAGAGGATCAAAAACAATTAATTACTATACAATAGTTTAAGGATGTTCGCTTCTCTTGTTTTTGAATTTTTGCCAGATATTCGGAAGCCTCTTGTTTTATCCGTTTAGTGCCATTAAAAAAATTTGCCCACTAAACCCAATTTTCTTTTCATAATATTATTACATATAGTTTAAAAAGCAATATTTGAAAATTTTAAAAAAGCCTTGTTATTTTTTCATAGTTATTGAAAGAAAAGATGTGCCAATGTAAAATGTATGGAAAATCTAGAGATAATCATTTCCCGCCAAATTTTCAATGGCTTATATCTCGAAAACAAGCACATGAACCATTCATTTTTGTTGTGCTTTTGTATTTCCTTTATTCCTATATTATCAATCAATAACAGTCTTTTAAGAAGCTTGTTATTTTGAAACACAGTATCGAACATCCTTAAAGCAATATGTGTCATCAACATTTTTGTTTAAGTTAAAAAAAAAAAGGACATTTTTCTAACAAATCTTCTATGGTATGTTTTAACATTTGAATCATTTTATGGTGCTGTTCTGGAAATCAAATAAAGCATTACTCAAACCTGATGGACTGGTGTATATTAGTTTTTTTGTATATTTCATCTCTCCTCCTTTGCCATATACCCCATTTACTCCCATTGACTTATACTCAATAACCCCATTGACTTATACCGGTTTACCTCCATTGACGTATGCCCTGTTTATCCCCATCGATTTTTACACCATTTACTCTATTGACGTATACCCCATATCTTCTTGCATTAATATCATAAGAATGATCTGAATATAATCACTCATACAACGTAGCAGGTGACATCTTCAATTATAACATACAATGTAACAAGTGACATCTTTAATAATAAGAATGTATTTACTTTTTCGCTGACTTTGGATATTACGACTATTCGAGCAAATTGTAACATTATTTTATTCGGTTTAAACAAAAACAGGATATGATAAGAGAATTATTTGGCTCATTCTATCCGCTGAAAATAATTGTTTCATTCATTATTTACATGTATGCCTATATCAAAGCCGAGGAAACTAGAAACAGCTTGTTCACGATCCATCACGTCAATGTAAAAGTTCCTTCTACGCGTTATAACGCAAAATTCAAAACAATATTTCAAATAGTTTTTGAACCCGTAAATATAGAGCACATGCAAGGACCAAATAAATAATTTACCTCCATGTTTGTTTATATGATTTCGAAATATACTTATTTTAGGCCAAAAATGGCCCTTAGTGCACTTCCTCCTTTGTTCTGAAAATGAAGAGGAATATGATCCATTTAACTTATTTGGAATAAGTTAGAGGATGTACATAAAAGTTAGCCTGATAAAACACTTTCAATCAAATTTTGCAGTCATGCAAGAAATGTCTAGCATCGAAACATAAAATGAAAGCACTTTTTATAAATTAGATATGTTGTTAAAGAGCAGGTGATATATAGTATTTGGTCAACACCTAACATTTTATGAGATATTTTGCAGGTCTTGCATATCTTTTTTTCATTTATTCAACACTGCAAATCATACATCAACATGACATATCCAAACTCTTATGCATGACATAACACCGATGTGACAAATTTATTTATAAACAGTGTAATTTCATATTTATGTATAATAATGATAAAAGTAACTGAATTATCATATTTTCGTCTGCTGAGTGTTTAAAATTCAACGTTGGTATTTTTCCAACTGCTTCTAAAGACTCCAACTTGATAGTTGTCCAAATCAGCCGTTGGTATTTTACGCCGCGTTTGAGGCGTTAAAGAATGAAAAGAATTTAGCATTTATATGATACATCATATGTACGATTTTATTTTCATCAAAAGTTTGATGACTATCTTGATCTTATAGGTCCCAATGAAATACAAGATACAATAAAAAAAAATAAAAAAAATACTGAACTCCAAGGAAAATTTAAATGGAATTACATCTTGATATGTTTCATACATTGACCTACATATAGAAATCGAAAGTGATTGTTGATAGAGATGTAAACGTTGCAACAATTCAAAAGAGACTTCAGTTTTTATATTGTGAACTTTCAACTTTTATTTCGCAACATTCCAGCATCAATTGCATTCCAGATATTCATCTCACGATGTTTCTAGACTTCCTAGTTGGAACGCTTGGTAGTTGGTCACTGTATATAAGGAAGCTATAATTATCTAAACAAAGTTTCTAACTGTAACCTACCTGTAAGAGTTGCTGTCAGATAAGTGTTTTTGGTAAATTGCAGTTTGTGTGCTGTTATCAAATTGGTTTGTTGAAAAACATTGATTCTGTCACGCCACACCGTTGTTTACAATATTTAACAACTCAAGGTAGTCAAATGTTCAATCTTTAAAATGCAAGGTTTGCAAGAGGGTGGAGTAATTTTTCTTATAATATTTATTTGTTATTTGTTATTCTTTTTTATATATTTAAAAAATTATCAAATACACCAGTCTTGTTATGGTGTACGCCAGACGTAAAATAAAAGCATCATCTGGCTTTTCAAGTATTGAATCTCTGGTTGTAAAATAATTGAAATTGAAAACATTATATATATTATATGTTCTGTGTTACGACTCTAGTTTCCATTGACGAGGAAAGGTAACACTAGGCCACCGAAAGCTAAATTTTTAGTTCAGTCTAGGTGGCAGTGTGGTCTAGAGCGCTGGACACAGTGCATGCGGTGTTGTCTCGATATCCCAATAGCATGAGTTCAAATCTCGGCGAGGGAAGAACAAAAATTTGCTTCCGCAAATTTGCAGATTTAACATTGTTGTGCAGATATTTAGAGTAATTATGAATATAATATATGTTTTCAGTCGTGTATCACCTGATCAAATGGATGGATCTGTCGTAGAGTTGTCACTTGTTTAGACGTACTTATCATATAATTATTTCTGCTACTGCATCTAACGATCCTTTATGACAGATAATTTAGCTAATCTGCAATCAATTCCATCTTCATGCAACATATATCATGTACTGTGTTACAGCTCTAGATTCTACTGACGAGGAATGGTAACACTAGGCCACCGAAAGCTGAATTTTTAGTTCCGTCTAGGTGGCCGAGTGGTCTAGAGCGCTGGACACAGTGCAGGCGGTGTTGTCTCGATATCCCAATAGCATGAGGTTGAATCCCGGCGAAGGAAGAACAAAAATTTGCTTCCGCAAATTTGCATTTTTAACATTGATATGCTAGATATTTAGAGTAATTATGAATATTAAATATTATATATATATTATACATAATTCATTTTCTTTTGGCAAAACGGATAACTTGAAATCCTAAATTTCCATAATGGAGATGGAAAATTATTATAATCTCGCGTTCGTTGTGTATATTATTACAGTTTCATAACTATAACATTTTTTGTAATTTTCTTTGGAATAAACGTTTCTGAAACATGTAAAATATGTATTTGGACAAGCACATACATAATGTTGCATAACAATAATGTACAAAAAACGGTGACTTATTTTGCTTAAATCTACGTCACTCCGGTTGATAGTTGCCTTTTTGGCAATCATTCAACATGTCATTATTTTTAAATTTACTCATCTGAACGTCATTAAGCAAACAAAACAACTAATTTAATGATAAAAAACAACATGATACCCATTTCAACTAAAAAATATACCATGTTTCCCAAATTATACGTGTTAAGACGTCATAATATGTATGAGAACGCATTACATTACAGCAGAAACAACAAACCCTGCAATCAATATGAAAATAAAGAGATGTGGTATAATATGCTTTTCTCTTGTACTAGACTTCCCTATCCGTCGCTGTTGTACAAATTTAATAAACAAAGTCGTACTACTTTTCATCTTTTTTGTATTCTTGACATTTTCATTTTTGCGTAGCTTCACACCAATTATTTGCTCTTCATCCATTACTTTTTTCAGGTTAACACAATTTGTTCAACCAATATTACTGATAGTTGATTAATCCACTTGAACATAATCGGGTTGATGACATATGTTTATTGGATAAATGAACGCGCAAATAGTCCATTTCTTACCATTAATAATCTACAAAACAAAAGATTATAGTCATGTCTGGACTGCGTATAAAATGGA